CCCCCCCCCCCGTCCCCCCGGCGCTTGCTGCACTCGGAGCCGATGGAGCGCCGATAGAGCGAGCTGTCGAAATTTCTTAAGTCAACTCTGACCTTGCCCAGGTTCGAGCTCGCGAGCGGCCTAGTCGAGGCAACGCGACGCACGGTGAGCCCGTCAACGAGATGATGGGTCACGTGGTCTGCAGCACAGGAAAAAAAAAAAACACATTTGATCTAGAGTCCAGACTCTTAAAAACATCGACCAAAAAAAAAATACTCATGATTCAGTCGGACTTTGGCTTAAATCAAGAACCAAGCCTCTTAATTTAAGCGGATTTCCTTTTTGATTAAAACAAAAATCTGATTGAATCAAGAGTATTTTTTCTTGTCCGTGTTTCCGACAGTCTGGACTCTAGATTCAATGTGTCTATTTTCCAGTGAGTGTTAAGAAAAAACGTCGTATGGACACTCAAGAGTTGCCAAATTTCATTTGAAAATATTTTTGTTTTCGAGGAGTGTGGTGATTATTTTTTCTTGAAATTTTCAGATAATTTAGAGCTGATTATAAATGAAATTCTGTTAAAAATTCGAAGAAAAGTAAGGGTGGTCCCAGTCAAGGAATACCGAGAAAACCGGGAAATGTCAAGGAAAATGAAGAAAAAGTCTGGGAAAAATTGTTAAAATTCACCTTTATTAGCTTCCTGAAAAGGATTTGACGTTTTGAATGACACATTTTGCCTGGAAACTATTTCAAATTATATAGTTTTCGCCGTATGGCATATATTCAACTGTCTGAGAATTTTACTCAAATGTGTCAGGGAAATAAAAAATTTTTTAAAGAATTTCATTTTCTGAATTTCGTGGCATCCTTGAATTAATATTCACAAAGCTAACATTTTATTGAAGGAGATTTAGCGAAGTCTGTTGACTCATACGGCATACGGTGTTCTTCCTTAGCATGACGGTGTGCTATGCTATTCATAGATTCAGATTTGTGCGTGAGTAAAATGTAATATGGTATGTCTGAATGCAAAGTTTCTTCCTCGAATTATGATGGAGATACCGCTCATTGTGAATGTGGATGCAAAAGACGTCGTTATGTACGTTGTTTAACGTTGGAATATGCGTTGTTATGCCTGAAGAAACGAGAGACAAGTGTTCACTTAATGCAACTTATCTGATACCACTATTTCGACCCCTAAGTCGAGCAAGGTTGCATCCGAAAAACTGAAGGGGTTTTTTTGTCGCTGGACGAGTTCCTCGATCTGTTTGTATAGCAAGGGTGCTGCAATTGTGATCTAGATCACACTATGTTCAAAGTGTACGTGTCATTAATAATTTTATTACGAGATCAATATGAGTGAAAAATTGTCGAA